ATAAAATTTTTTTAATTTTAAAGAGAAATTTAAAATTAGAAGGATGAAAATTATCAAAAAGTAATAAAGGAAAAATTTTCAGAACTGAACGACTTGAGTTTCCAGGTGAAAGAGCCCACAAAATACCCAACCTAATGGTTATATAAATTAATTAATTTCTATACTGCACACAACGTGTAGTCCCTAACCCCCATCTCACCCTTTCCCTGTACCCCCAAAGTCCATTGTGTCATTCTATGCCTTTGTAACGTTATATCTTATCTCCCACTTATGAGTGAGAACATACGATGTTTGTTTTGCCATTCCTGAGTTACTTCACTTAGAGTAATGGTCTCCAAATCCATCCAGGTTGCTGCAAATACCATTATTTCATCCCTTTTTATGTCTGAGTAGTATTCCATGATATCATACATACCACAACGTCCTTATCCACTCATTCATTAATGGGCATTTGGGCCAGTTCCATATTTTTGCAATTGTGAATTGTGATGCTATAAACATGCACGAGCAAGTATCTCACTGCTTTTTATTGGTTATTGGTCTATTCAGAGTTTCTATTTCTTCCTGGGTTGATCTAGGACAGTTGTATTTTTCTAGGAATTTATCCAACTCCTCTAGGTTTTCTAGTTTTTAATTGACCGTATTTAAATTTTCTCTGTTCTTTTCTTGGTTAATCTTGCTAATGGTCTATTAATTTTATTTATCTTTTGAAAGAACTAGCTCTTTGTTTCATTTATCTCTTCTGTTGGTTTTTGTTTGTTTCAGTTGCATTTGCTCTGCTCTGATTTTTATTATTTCTTTTCCTCTGCTAGTTTTAGGTTTGGTTTGTTCTTGTTTCTCTAGTTCCTTGAAGTGTGACCTTAGATTGTTTATTTGGGCTCTTTCAGACATTTCAATGCAGGCATTTAAGGCGATTAGCTTTCCTCTTAGTACTGTCTTTGCTGTATCCCAGAGGTTTTGATAGCATGTGTCACTATCATTGTTCAGTTCAAAGAATTTTTAAATTTCCATCTTTTTTGATTTCATGATTAATTAAATAACAGGATCCGGAATGATTGTTTCACCCAACAATCATTCAGGATCAGGTTATTTAATTTCCATGGTTTTGAGGGTTCCTTTTAGAGTTAATTTCCAATTTTATTCCACTGTGGTCTGAAAAAATACTTGATATAATTTTGATATTTTAAAATGTATTGAGACTTGTTTTGTGGCTTATCATATGCTCTATCTTGGAGAATGCTCCATGTGCTAATGAATAGAATGTATATTCTGTAGTTATTGGGTAGAATGTTCTGTAAATATCTGTTAAATCCATTTGTTCTAAGGTATAATTTAAATACATTGTTTCTTTGTTAATATTCTATCTTGATGACTTGTCTAGTGCTGTCAGTGGAGTATTAAAGTCTCCCACTCTTATTGTGTTGCTATCTACCTCATTTCTTAGGTCTAGGCATAATTCTTTTATAAATTTGGGAGCTCCAGTGTTAGGTGGTAAATATATATTTAGGATTGAAATTATTTTCCTGTTGGACTAGTCCTTTTATAAGTATGTAATATCCCTCTTTGTCTTTTTAACTGCTATTGCTTTAAAGTTTGTTTTGTCTGATATAAAAATAGCTACTCCTGCTCACTTTTGGTGTCCATTTGCATGAAATATTGTTTCCCACCCCTTTACCTTGAGTTTATCTGAGTCCTCATGGGTTAGTTGACTCTCTTTTGAAGACAGCAGATACTTGCTTGGTGAATTCTTATCCTTTCTGCTGTTCTGTATGTTTTAAGTGGAGCATTTAGGCCATTTACATTCAACGTTAGTGCTGAGATGTGAGATACTATTCTATTAATTATGCTATTTGTTGCATAAATGCCTTAGGTTTTTTTTTTTCATTGAGTTTTTGTTCTATGGATCTTGTGAGATTTATGTTTTAACGAGGTTCTATGTTGGTGTATTTCAAGGAATTGTTTCAAGTTTTAGAGCTCCCTGTAGCAGTTCTTGTAGTGCTGGCTTGGTAGTGGTGAATTCTTTCAGTATTTGTTTGTCTAAAAAATACTGTATCTTTCCTTCATTTATATAGCTTAGTTTTGTTGGATATAAAATTCTTGGCTGATAATTATTTTGTTTAAGAAGCCTAAAGATAGGCCCCTAATCCCTTCTAGTTTGTAGGGTTTCCGCTGAGAAATCTGCTGTTCATTTGATAGGTTTTTCTTTATAGGTTACCTGATGCTTTTGCCTCACAGCTCTTAAAATTCTTTCCTTCATCTTGACTTTAGAAAACCTGATGTCTATGTACCTAGGCAATGATCTTATTGCAATAAATTTCCCTGGTTTTCTTGGAGCTGCTTGTATTTAGATGTCTAGATCTCTAGCAAGACCTGGGAAGTTTTTCTAGATTATTCCCTCAAACATGTTTTCTAAACTTTTAGATTTCTCCTCTTTCTTAGAAACATTAATTCTTCTTAGATTTGGTTGCTTAACATAATCCCAAACATCTTAGAGGCTTTGTTTATTTATTTTTTACTTTTTTTTCTTTATCTATGTCAAAAGCCTTTTCTTTGAGCTCTGAACTTCTTTCCTCTACCTTTTTGGTTCTGTTGCTGAGACTTTCCATTAAATTGTACATTTCTCTAAGTGTGTCTTTCGTTTCCAAACGTTGTGATTGTTTTTGATGTATGCTATTTATTTCACTGAAGATTTTTCAATTCATATCTTCTATGACAATTTTGATTTCATTAAATTGGACTTCACCTTTCTCTGGTTCCCCCTTGATTGGCTTAATAATTGACCTTCTGAACTCTTTTTCTGGCAATTCTGAGGTTTGTTTCTTGGTTTGGATCCATTGCTGGTGACCTAGTGGGACCTTTTGTGTGTGTGTGTGTGGGGGGGGGTGGTAAAGAACCTCATTTTTTCATATTACCAGGATTGTGTTTCTCTGATTTCTTCTCATTTGGGTAGGCTATGTCAGAGGGAAGATCTGGGCCTCAAGGACTGCTGTTCAGATTCTTTTTCCCCTGGCATGCTCCCTTGATGTTGTGCTCTTGCCTTCCCCTAGAGATGTGGCTTCCTGAGAGCCACACTACCGTGATTGTTATTTCTTGTCTGGATGTAGCCAGCCAGTGGAGCTACCAGGCTCTGGGCTGGTACTGGGGAGTGTCTTCATGGAGTCCTGTGATGTGAATCATCTTTAGATGTTTCTGCGTCAGATACCAGCACCTGCTCCAGTGGAGGTGGCAAGAGAGTGAAGTGGACTCTGTGAGTCCACATGGCTGCAGTTTTGTTTACAGTACTACTTTTGTGTTGGTTGCCCTTCAGCCAGGAAGTAGCACTTTAAAGAGCACATCAGCTGCAATAGCATAAGGAGGATCAGGTGGTGAGTGAAGCCATAGAACTCCCAAGAGACTATGCCCTTTGTCTCCAGCTACAGGGACAAGCAGAGAAGGACCATTAGGCAGGATTAGGCATGTCTGAACTCAAACTCTCCTTGGTGGGGCTTGCTGTGCTTGCTACGGGGGATGGGGGTATGGGGGGATGTGGGGATTGTTCTCAGGCCAATGGAGTTATATTCCCATGGTGATTATGGCTGCCTCTGCTGCCTCATGTAGGTTGCCAGGGAAGTGGGGGAAAGTGGGCAGTTACAGTCCTACCTTCCAATGCAGCCCAAAGGGCCTGTCTCACTCCTACTGTGCCCCCCACCCACCCCACAACAACACTGAGTTTATGGATCTATTTCAGAATTCCCAATTATTTTCCATTGATCTGCCTATTCTTTCTCCATTACTATATCACAACTTTATTGTAGCTTTAAAATAATTCTTGAAAATAGGTAGTATGTGTTCTTCAACTTTGTTCTTCTTTAATATTGTTTGGTTTTCCAAGTCTTTTGACTTTCCATATAAATTTTATATTCAGTGTCTAGATGTCTACAAAATAGCTTGTAAGAATTTTGGTTTTTTATTTTATTAGATCTCTAGTTCAAATTTGGAAAGACATGTTAACAATACTGAGTATTTTATTCCATGAGCACAGAACATCTTTTATTTATTTAGATCATCTTTTATTTCTTCGATCAGAGATTTGTAGTCTGAGAAATCATCACAGCCAAACAGAGCCTCAGGAGACAGAACATCCAAAGCTAATGTAATATCTTGAATGGACTCCTATATCAGAAGAGGGAACTAAGTAAAAAATAAGGGAATTTGAAAACAGTATGGGCTTTAGTTAGTAATTATCAATGTAATAGATGCATTAATTGTAATGTGTGTTATACTGACAATAATATCTAGCTACATACAATTATGTCGAGTGGTCTAAATAAATTTTACCACATGCCAAAAGGGCTTTCAGAGGTCACATTTAGGTGATTTCCTCCTCTTTTATTCTGTTCCTTGTAGCTACTTGCAATATCTTCTCCATCAAGACTCTACACAGATGCTGCTATCCTTGAAGAGTAAAACTGTAGGGTGTATCTACCTTTCAATATAAATCAGTAGAATTAAAAAAGTCATTAATGTCAAAGTTGTATCGTAGTCTTTTGCAAAATAAAAATGAAGTTGGAAAGAAATTTATTTTAAAATACATGACTTTAAGGTGGTAGGTTTGATTTTGGTGAGGAGATCCCCGCTCTGCTAGAGAGGTCTTTTACATCATCCCGTGTGAACATCATGTTTTGGCAGTCAGCAGTTCACACCCTGAATACACAGAGGACTTGGCTTGTTGTGTTAAGTTGAATGTTATTGCACATTTTATGAAAGATTTACAAAGGATTTCTGGCACACATTTTTTTGGCTCATAATCCTGAAGGAAATGTTGAAAACTGGTATAAAAAATAGAATTTTATCCTCTTTGTTGCTATGCTCTCAAAAGACCAAAATGAGCTTTTTAGTCATGTATTATAAAATATAATCAGGCTTAGCTCGACTTTAGGTGTTTCTTAACACCTAAAAAAAAGTGGCTTTCCAAGCTGAGACTCTAAAATTTATCTTCCCCTCAATTAAGATACCCGTAGTCCTGATACCTACCTGTAATTATGTCTTGAAGGGTTCTCTAAATGTGGACTTCTCAGTTGAGATATAACTAAACATTTCTAAAACTACGCTAAAAATTGAGAACTCTGCTTTTTAAAATTTTTTTATAGAGTCATCTTTCATTTACAGAAGGAAAATCTCTAAACAGTACGTGCTGCAAAGAACTAGAGATGGTCTGCTCTTGGCCTGCGCAGGCCCCAGAGGATTGCCCTTTTAAAATATCTGAGCTAGTCATTTCTCCATGCATTGCTTCAAATGAATCTTCCCATTTCCTGTCTTGGTCTCTTCTGGTCCATTTTTCATCCTACAGCCAGAGAGAACATGTTTAAATGAACCCAATTATGTCACTTTCGTTTGTAAAACCCTTCAACCGCTTTCCAATGCCCACAGGCTGAAGTCCAAACTTGTTACTGTAACCTGTTACTATAGCGCATGCTTGCCCCACTTCCAGCTTCATCTCCAGTCACTCCTCTCTGTGCATAATACCAGCAAACCACAAGAAACTGCTCCAAGAGCAGGATGTGCTCTCTCATGACACCATCACATGCTGGCCTCTGTCAATTACACTTCCATCTTTACCTAAAAATTCTGACCTATTCTTAGATATCTCTTCCTCCAAGGAGCCTTCAAGCATGGCAAAGACGAAATCCACCTGCAGTATTATAGCCTTTGATGAGGTATGCCCAGCAGCCTTTACCCCCAAGTATTTTGCTGCAGGAGATCCACCTTTTTTTTTTTTTTTTTGAGAGTAAGGAGTTTTGCTCTTGTTACCCAGGCTGGAGTGCAATGGCATGATCTTGGCTCACCACAACCTCTGCCTCCCAGGTCTAAGCGATTCTCCTGTCTCAGCCTCCAGAGCAGCTGGGATTACAGGCCTGTGCCACCACGCCCAGCTAATTTTTGTATATTTAGTAGAGGGGATTTCTCCATGTTGGTCAGGCTGATCTCAAACTCCCGAACTCAGGTGATCTGCCCGCCTCAGCCTCTCAAAGTGCTGACATTACAGGCATGAGCCATCACCCCTGGCCAGGAGATCCACTTTTTTTGAGAGCTTATTATGGTTAACACTAGTAGTTCTAGTTAGATGAACTCATTCGTTTATTTATATGCAAATATTGAATGAACACCTATCAGGCGGTATTCTTCTAGGGTTCAGAGATCAGCAAATAGGCGCTTGGGCTACAAAACAATTCCTGCTTTCATGAAGTTTTTTTTTTTTTTTTTTTTCTTTTTCCTTTAGGCAAAGAATCAGCAAATATAAAATAAAAGTGAATTAAATGGTATTTTAGAAGGTGATAAATGCTGTAAGCATGAGGATTGGAAAAAGATAAAAGAGATTGAGAGAAAAGAAGGTAGAATATAGCATTTGAATGTTCCGATCAAAAACTTGAATAAGGATAGAAAGTTAACCATAGGGGATCTGGTGGAAACTCATTCCAGCCAAGATCCTAAGTCTTAAGGTGAGGAAATACCTCGTGGGTAGAGAAAGAGCAGGAAGACCAGTGTGACTGGGGTTGAGGGGGTGAGGGGAAGAGCAGTCGGAGTTGAAGTCACAGAGTTAATAGCGGACACATGCAGGAGGGTTTTGGAGGCTAGTGTAAGGGTTGGTCTTGCTAATCTTCAGGTCTTCTTCTCCCCTGAGCTGGATGAATAGAAACTATATTGGCCAAACCTTTCACGTCTTTTCTTGAATATAGTGGCCCCGACAGGACCAGTCAGCACCTGTTCATGAGTTTAATATAGACATCGCCCAGCATGTAAGGGCATGTGGAAGGGAGAGGTTATTCTTGTTATTGTGAGACTCCTACTTGTGAAAAAGCTGTAAGGCTGCTGGGCGAACTGGCTCCCGCCTGTAATCCCAGCACTTTGGGAGGCCGAGGCAGGTGGATCACAAGGTCAGGAGATGGAGACTAACATGGTAAAACCCCATCTCCACTTAAAATACAAGAAATTAGCCTGGCACAGTGGCATGTGCCTGTAATCCCAGCTACTCAGGAGGCTGAGGCAGGAGAATCGCTTGAACCCAGGAGGTGGAGGTTGCGGTGAGCTGAGATCGTGCTACTGCCCTCCAGCCTGGGCGACAGAGTGAGACTCCATCTCAAAAAACAAACAAACAAAAAAACTATAAGGCTAGAGCAGCTAGTGGCTGTATTTTCTGTCACATGTAAGGAGCTTGTTTAAGAATACAGTTATTGGTGAAGAAAATAGTTCCATGAGATGGGCAAAGAAAAAAAATCCCAAATACATCATTTGAGATCTTACGCCTAGCGATGGCTGAAACCAGCCCCCTGCTTTGAATATTGAGGTAAAGTTGGTTTCAGTTGGAGTTAAATTTCCATCACTTGAAAGCTAGACTTTTCATGAATGCATCTCTCAGTACTCCAGATCACCCTCTGATTTTCTGTTTCTCTAAGTATTGTGTTGGGGGTAGACCCTATTTCTACCTACACATCACCTGGCATCAGCAGTTACCAAATCACGGTCAATCTTGTTTCATCTACTAACCCTATCCACCTTCCATCTCCATCAACCACGTAAAGCAAGTCGTAGACATCATATCATTTTATCCGTATCTTATGAATCTTCGAAAGATAGAACGCTTTAAAAACATAACCACAAATTAGTATACTTAGAATAACAATAATGATATCTAATGGGATGCATTTAGTAGATTGAGAATTTTGGAGAGTGGCAAGAAGGCTGTATCACTACTCCTTTGCTCAGAGCTGGAGCTCCAAAGTGATGAATAGTTTCCATTTGCTTACATTTCTTTTTGTGTTTAGATTATCTGGTACTACTGATTTTTTAGTTTCACTAGAGGATTAAAGAAAATAAACTTCCTAATATTGATTTAAACAAAAGGGAAGACGACTATGAGGTAATTTGAATTAAGTAACTTAACATCCTTTGTATTGAATATTAACCACTACTTCCTTTATGGAGATGTTGCAATGTTTTCATTTACCTGGAGCCAAAAAGTTTAACCTGAATATTATTGTAAGAAGTATTCTTGATAATATTTTCCTGCTACTTCATGTAGCTCTCACTGCTTGAATCCTCCATATATTTGCAATGAGTAATGATTTATAAATTGTTCTGGGAAAATTGTTACCTCCATACAAACAAAAATAGAAAGTGAATTATTAAAACCCACCAAGAGTTTCCCATTGACGATAGGGAATAAACCAACAAAAACAGGATGTGAAAACAAGGCACCCCTCTGTCATTTTCTTCTTCAACCACGGCTAAAAACTATGGTTCATTTATCTTTATATCTCTAGACTTAAGAGTGCATAGTAAATGCTCAATAAATTTTGAAGGAAAGGGAATAAGGGAGTTAAAGTGTACCAGTTTTAAGCTCTCTCTTGAATTACAATCATAAGGTCTGGGTAACTGTGTATGTCAAAATTGCTTTCCCAAGACAATAGTCATAAGCAATTGTGCAATTCTTTTCTCTACAATCCTCAATGAGGGCTTTCTGACACAGCAGCTGAGATGGCTGGGACTTGTTAATGGACTTGAAAACATGCAACCCCCTGGCTGCTCATTTCTCCCCTCTAGAGAATGGGGCCAGCATCATGGCATTCTCAGAGATATTCTGTGCAGTAAAGACTGGTGGTGCAGCTTAACCACATAAATCCCACAAAAAATATTTGCTGAGATATTTAAGGCCTCTATTCTGAAAGTATTTATTGATGAATGCCTTCAGATTAAATGTATTTGAGTCATGAAGGAACCATAATACTACACTTTGTGAGGCATATGAAAAATGGATTCTTTTAATGGTGTAGTGCTTGCCAAGTTATGACAAATGGTCTAGACTCAGAGATCATGTTCTAAATAGTACTGATACCTCCAAAGAGTTCTGGTCAATGGCGATGTCCAACACTATGTGTCAAATGCTAGCAGAAGTACAATGATATAAGAACAGCACAGACAAAAGAATGAAACAGCAGGGTAAGCAACCCCATATTTTGTTCACTCTCCAAATTGATCCCTGCTTGACATAAGTGTGGGTGACATAGGCTCTCCTCTGCTACCACCTCCACCTCATTATTCTTATTAGACTCCCAGATAAAAGAAAGGTGGAAAAGACATCACCTGTCTCACCTGGCGTGCTACAGCACAGCACATTTTCACTCTCAACATTGTTCATTTCTTTTTGTAGGGCCAAGGTTCTCACCTATATTGTATTCCCTCTAACCAAAGAACTTAATTTAACATTTCTTGTAGAGTATCTCTGATGGCAATTTTTTTTTAAGATTATGCCTAATATGGTATTTATGCCTTACTTTTGAAGTTTATTTTCACTGGATATAGTACAGCATTTTTTCCCCAGCACATTAAAGACTTTACTACATTTTGTTCTTGCTTACATGGTTTCTGATGAGAAATTAATTAACAAATTTGCATTAATTTGCATGTTTTTTCCAAGATTTTTCTTGTTATAAGTATGGGGTGGAGATTCCTTTCAACTTTCTACACCTCCAGGGTGAATTTGGAAGACCCATTATTATTTTTAAAGTATATCTTCAATGGATATTGAGTCCTGGGTTAACAGATGGTTTTTGCATTTAATTTTTCTTCTCCACTATGTTCTAGCTTGTGTTGTCTTAGACAAGAAATACGGTGGTAATGATTATCTTTGTTCTTCTGTATATAATCTGTCTTTTTCTTTATGGCTAAGTTTATGATTTTTCTTTCTTACTGAATTGTAGGAACTTGACAATAATATACTGTGGTTTTGGTTTACGATGCCCAAGTCCACTGAGTTTCTTGGATCATCAGACTTGGAAAATGTATGGCCATTATTTCTTCAAATGATTTTTCTGTTCCCATCTTCTTTTCATTTTTTTCTCTCATATTCAATGTATACGTATTATACTTAGTATGGTCTGAAGTTTACATAGGCTCTGTTTATTCATTGTTCTCCTCTTTGTTTCTCTGTATTTCTTTTTTGGTGAGTTCATATTATCCTGCTTTCATGTTCATTGATCCATAAAATTTTTATTCTACATATTGCATCTTTTAGCTCTAGATTTTACTTTTGGCTCTTTTTTATGTGTTCAATGTCTCCTAAGTACATTAATGTTTCTCTTTAAATCTTCAAACGTAATTTTAATAGCTACTTAATGTGCTTCTTTGCTAATCTCATCATGCCTTCCATTTTTGTGTCCACTTCTGTTAAGTTGTAATTCTCCTGTTTATGGACCAAATTTTCCTGCTTCTTTGCATTTCTAATATTTTTCATTATACATTAAATATTGCATATTCTAACATTCAAATTCTTTAGTGTTTTTTTTTTTTTTCAGGTTTATTGTAAATTGGCTTGAGAGTCCCAAGGCTTAAAGAAAAATAATTGGCTCTGAGTAGCCTTCCGCCTAGGGCTAGATTAACCTTAATCCTATGGTATAAACTTTCTGGATTCTCCTGTGAATTACCAAGGTGCTTAACAAGGTTCCTCCTATCTGCCTGCTTGGAACTTGAACATCATTTTGTACAAACTTTGTTTTTCCATTTACAGCTTCCCTGTAGTTGTTTTATCTCAGATACCTTTTATTTTCACCTGACCTTTTGGATCCTGACCGGTACAGACATAGTGAAAACTATAGGAGATCCTTTTGCAGAATTCTGAAGTCTCTTGCAAATCCCAGCTACCTCGGTATCTCTAAGCCCTGATTTATCCCCTCAGCTCAGAAACCTCGCTGTGTTCTCTTCAGGCTCTCTGTCCCAGTGCTACCATCTGGGAAGTGCCTCCAGGTAGAACTGAGATAACCATGATGCTCACATTGTTTCCTTCTTTCAGTGATCCTAATCCTGCACCGCTTCTTATTCGATGGCTGTGAAAATAACACAGTTATATATATATATATATATATATATATATATATATATATATATATATAAAATAACACAGTTATTTTATATATTTTGTCTATTATTCTAGTTGGTTGTGGAAGAAAATCCTTGCCTCTTAAAATTTACTCAACCATGGCCCTACATAGCGTATTTGATTGCCTAAGGCATCACATCTGTTTGCCTGATGCTCTGTATTCTACTGGTCTGCATGCTTCCTAGTATGAAAATAAATCTTTTAATTACAAAAGGGTCAATCTGATCTTCAGGTCACAATTTCCATAAATTCAATATCAGCTTGTCTTTACCAATTGTATGCCTTCTATTAACATTTTTTTTTCAATTGCCTTGATCTATCATCTTTCTATCCACAAGGATTTCAGAAGGCATAGAAACTTTCTGTTATGAAAGTAGAAGAGGCAGAATTTCTTTCTTCTTCTCTAGGCCTGTGTGAGTTTTCTTGAAATAATCTTTGGGACTCTGTGTTAATGCACATTATTGTTTCATACCTCTTCCTTTTGCTTCTTAGATGCTTACATTATGTTTGAAGCTAGAAAAGAGATCAAGTCAGCTGATTAACTTTGCCAAGTGGTGGGCACAGAGGTAGCTTTTCTGAACTAACCTCAGAATGCTTAGGTTGAAGGATGAATATAAAAAGTGCTAAAAATTGATTTTTTTTAAAAAAGCATGAATAAAATATTCTTACAAATGAGGAAGAGCTAGTATATAATAGAACATGACACCTAGATAATATTTAATGGTATAGGAAAAAAATAATGAATCTGAATTTGGTACAGAGAGCTAATTGTAGTTTAGCTACCCAGTGAAGAAAATACAAGAAGCAGAGGCTTAGATGGTTAAATAAGCAATAGTCTGACTCCAGAGATGAGGAGTCAGTGCTTTAAAATTTTTCAAATATTGTATGTTATGTGTTTCACTTAGGAAACACGTTTTTTGATACACATATGTTCCTTTGATCTTTTAATTACTTTACAGTCACTAACATTATCATCATTCCCATATTACAAATAAAGTAACTATCCAAAGAAAGTTGAAGTTTCAGTAATTCACATAGGGACACCTACAGCTTGTAAGAGATGCAGCTGGGTATCCAACTGAGGCGAGCCACAAAATCCATGTTTCTAACCACTGTGCTCCACTAAATTATAGGTAGGTAAAGCATTTTTTTTGGAGACAGAGTCTCGCTCTGTTGTCAGCTACCAGGCTGGAGTGCAGTGGCGCGATCTTGGCTCACTGCAACCTCCGCCTCCCGGTTTAAGCAATTCTCCTGCCTCAGCCTCCCAAGTAGCTGGAACTACAGGTGCGCATCAGCATGCCCAGCTAATTTTTGTATGTTTTGGTAGAGACGGGGTTTCACCATGTTGGCCAGGAGGGTCTCAATCTCCTGACCTTGTGATCCACCAGGTCGGGCTTTTTTATACGCTCTGCTTCTGTCTTTGCCGATGGCCAAAACACATTTAAAGGCCATGGGAAGGATGGTCTGGCGCTGTGGTTGCCTCTTTACATCACTCAGTTTACAGCTCTCCCTCATCCCCCTCCTTCCCTCCCTTGTCCTACTCTTTCCCTCCTTTGATCAGTATCTCATCAGCTAGTCTAGCACAGCTGTCTCATGTTACTTTACTTGGATATTGCTATTGTATCAGTTCCTTTACACATGGACTGCATTTTTAAAGAGTAGATTCTGACAGAACCCTGGGAACAAATAAAAAATTAAACATTTAGTTAACACAGCATGTATAAAATTCAGCCCAAGAAAACACACAAAAACTCAACAAAGTGCAAAAAAATGACTAGGGCACATCCAATGTGCATGCTTTCCACAATAAACAAATGGACAACTTATATAAATTCCATATTTGAAGGAAAATTAAACAATAATTGGAAACATTAATCTATTTACCCTTTAACAGCTGCCTAAAAAATTTCCCTGTGATTTTTTATTTATGAATTTTCAATTAAACAGAGCATAACTATAGCTTCAGAAGTAGAAATCCTCTTAAGCAGATGTCAAATGATTTTGATAAGATACTTCTGTAATGCATCTCTTTGCCATTACAAAAACACACTGGTAATCTTTTAAGTTCCTTCCCTCTGTCTCGAACCTTGATCCCTGTTCCAATTGCTGTTGTTTTGCCTTTTGTCTCTTGGGTTGTAATGTGGTTAAGTTTCATTAGAATTTTCAAATAAAGTGAATAAAACATATACAGTTAAAATACCGTTCTAAAATTCAAATTTATATCTTAAAATATTATATTTATGATTACTGAGCTATTGAAAATAATGCAACTATAAGTTCTATGCAAATTCGGTTAAAATACATCTATAATTTGAATGTGCAAACAAATACAAATCACTCAGAATGTAAAACAAAACAAAAGTAATGAAAAATTAAGTGAAGTTGAATAGAGAAATGAGACATTTAGGATAAATGTGAGCATTGAGAGACCCAGCTCATTTCTTTCTCATGAATGAGATGTCCTGCATTTATCATATATATCAGTAGGAATTCATATATTATTTTAGAAAGCTTAGTTATAATAGATCAAAAGAGAAGCTTAAATATATGCTCTAATTTTTGTTGCATTATTGTTATTTTTATTTCTGGTTTACAAAAGTAACTTATAATTTGCAAAAAATGGAAATATTTTACCACAAAAAATTGGTTTTAATACCAGATCCATATAAGTGCTGTTAGTATTTTTGTATATCTTCTCTATCTCATTTCTTTCCTTAAATTTATCAGCATGGAAAATTTTAAATGTACTTTAAAGAAGGAAGAATAATATGATGAATATCTATGTTTCCCTCCCCCAGCTTCAGCAGTTTTCAGCCCCGTTATTTTCTCCACTCATCTCTCCCAAATCCCACTGGACTATTTCAGTGCAGTTTCATGATATCATATTGTTTCATTCATGAATGACTCCGAGTCTTTTTTTTTGCTTTGTTTAATTTAGTATTACATTCATGTGAAACATTTACATGTAACCAGAGTACAGCTGTGAAAGAATGCGTCTTCAGAAAAGTCTTGCATTCACCCAGATTCTCTCTGCTACCATGCTGTTCCTTTCCTCTGCATGTGGAGAACAATTTTTCATTAGTTTATTATTGGACCTTAATTTCTTTTTTAAAGCATTGGCAGATACATATTTGTGTTTTCTTCTTCTTCTTTGTTACATAAAATACACCATGTCAATCACAATTCTTTACCCTAACTTTCTGTAGTTTAAAAATTGTATCCCGAGGCAGGGTGTGGTGGCTAATGTCTGTAATCCCAGCGCTCTGGGAGGCCGAGGTGGGCAGATTCCTTGAGCTCAGGAGTTTGACACCAGCCTGGACAACATGGCGAAAACCTGTCTGTACAAAAAATACAAAAATTAGCTTGGCTGATGACATGCATCTGTAGTTCCAACTACTCCAGAAGCTGAAGTGGGAGGACTGATTGAGCCCAGGAGTTAGAGGCTGCAGTGAGCAGAGATTTCATCACTACGCTCCAGCCTGGTCAACAGAAGGAGACCCTGTCTCAAGAAAAGAAAAAATTATAACCTGGACACCCATTTTCAACAGTGCATAGAGATTTCCTTTATTCCATTCTTACAGCTGCTGATACTCCACTGCATGGATTAATTATTTATTCACCTACTTCCCCACTGGTGGATATTCAGCTCATTTACTCTCTTTTGTTCCTGCATATGGCGCTTCATATGAGAAACTTGTGCATACATTCTGCAATATATTTGCCAGTTTGCCTTTGGTGTACATACTCAGAAATGGGGTTCCTCAGTTAAATTGTGAATTCAGGTGAAATTTTGCTGGATAGCACCAAATTCTCTTCTACACAAGTAACATTTATGCCAGTTGTTAATTGGGCTATCGCCTTACCACCAGATTATGTTGTCAGCATCTGATGTTAACCAATTTGACGTGAAAGAAATATCCCAGTGTAGTATTTTTCCTTAAATTTTATCAAAGTTTAACATACATACAGAAAAATTCACAAACCACAAGTGTCCAACTCAATGATTTTTCATCAAATGAGTATGCATGTATAATCAATCAGCCTACAGTTAAGAATTAGACATTGCCAGTCCCTCAGAAGCCCTACTCAGGAACTTCATCCACCTAAAAGTGGTCATTATGTTAACTTCTGAAACCCTCAATGTGATTTGTCTATTTTTACACAATTACCTGAATTAAATTGTGCAGTAAATGCTCTTTTATTTACAGTTTCCTTTTTTGAGAGGGTTAACTATTGTTTTTATAAGATTTAACTTTGTGGCAACATGTAACAATAGTTGGTTATCATTTCTGTATTGCATTACAATATATGAAAGAATCATTTATTTATCCTCTATTTGATAGCACTATAATGAATCTGATTTTTGCCTATTATAGATTGCTGCTATGAATAATCTTATACAGTGTTTTTATCTGAAAACATGCATATGTCTGCACAATTTTTATAAATATTTTTCATTAAATTTAAAATTATCAGGTATTCCAAGATACAGGATGATATGACTAAAAAGTAAGAATAAAATATGACTACAAACAAATTCACAGATGATTCAAGTATTGTAGTTAAGAGAAAATGATTTTAAAAAGCTATGATTACAAATAGTGGAAAGATGAATAAAATACTTAAAATGGAGAAATTTACCATATACATTAAATATACAAAAAAATACAGTTTTAAAAATAAAAAAGAACTCAACTAACTAGTTTATCAGCCTACTAGACAACTCAAAAGAATTTATTACTGAAATGGAATACAGATCAATCATAAATGTCCAGAATAGAGCACAGAAACCAAAAGAGTAAAAAGAATATATTTTATTGAAATTAGTTACAGAAAAGCATGACTGCCATTAGCACCTACATTCAACATTATACTTCAATTCTAGCCAAAGTACTAAAAAAAAAAAAAAAAAAAAAAAAAAAAAAAAAAAAAAAAAAAAAAAAAACGAATGAAATAAGAAATTTAAAGACTAGGGGAAAAACTTATCATCATATTTCAGATAACATAATTGATTACATATAAAATTCAAAGTAAGCAACAGGTAAACTCAGGTTTATTAAAGAATTTTAAAAAATTGCTGGACATGGTATCAACATTAAGTACCTTCCATGCACTAGCAACAAATACAAATGACAAAACACCACAGTCATAGTGGAAAACATTAAATGTTAGAAATAAATGTTATTAAATATATATGGGACTTCTGTCTTGAAAACTATATAACACAGAGATTACATAGGTAGCAAATAAATGGAGACAAAAAACATCTTTAATAATTAGGAATCTTAAAATTATAGATATAAAAGATTTCTTTATGTTCATCTGTAGAATTAATGTAGTCAAATCTACCCAAAATCCCAGCAAAATTTTCTACAGGAATTTATAAGCTAATTTAAAAATGCATGGAAATTCACAGGGTTCAGAATAGCCAAGAAAATTTTGAAGTTGCAGAAACTTACCATATCACATATATGAAAACTGTATTGTGATAAAGCCACACAAATAACATAAAATTTGCCATCTTAATAATTTTAGTGTGCAGTTTCCTAGTGTTATTCATACTCACAATGTTATGAAACAGATCTTTAGAAGGTTTTCATCTCGCAAACCTGAAACTCTATACCCATTAAATAAAAACTCACTTTTTTCCCTTTCCCTAACTCCTGGTAACTACCATTCTATTTTCTGCTTTTCTAAATTTAACTGCTTTAGATAATTTATATAAGAGGAATCATATTGTATTAGTATTTTTGTGACTGGACTGGATTATTTCACTTAGCACAATGTCCTTAAGCTTCAGCCATGTTTTTGCATATAACTAAATGTCTTTCCTTATTAAGGCAGAATATTGTTCTTTTGTATGTATACACCACATTTTGTTTATCCATCCATCAAAGGATATTTGTGTTGTGTCAACCTCTTGGGTATTGTGAATAGTGCTAGTATCAACACGAGTGTGCAAATACTTCTAAAAAGCCGAGTGCTTTCAGGTCATGTCCATGGCCTCAATTAAGGTATAGAACATGACCCCTGTCCTATACCTATATTTAAATTTCTAAATCAAAGTATATAAATTTAAAAATAAATGTTCCACTTTATTATTGAAGTGTAATACAGATCAATAAAAAATGTGGAGTGCAAACACCTTATTTTGAATTATTTTGGATACATATCCAGAAGTGGGATTGGTAGATTATATGATAGGTCTATTTTTAATTTTTAGGAGAACCTCCATATAGTTTTTCGTAGTGGCTGCACCATTTTTCCACCAACAGTGCACAAGGATTCCAATTTCTCTACATCCCCACCGACACTTGTTAATTCCTGTTTTTGGATAGTTGCCATCCCAATGGTGAGAGGTGACATTACATAGTTTAAAAAGCTATGGTATAAGAAAGTGTGACACTGGCACAAGGAAAGACAAGTAGGTCAATGGTTTCTCAATAAAGAATTTGGGAAAGCATTTATCAATATAGAAATATTAGTTTTAGAACAAAGGCAATACTGTGGTGGAATGGAAAAACAGTGTTCTCTTCAATTAACTCTGCTGGTTGATTAAGTACCCATAAGGAAAGAAAATGAATCATGATCCCTGTCCTATACCAAACACACAAGAGTCACCAATTTCATATGGATTGCAGATTTAAACATAAAACTTTTAGAAAACCTAAAAGAATAACTATCCGTATGCTGTTGACTTGGCAAAAATTCCATAAATAGAATTTATAAAGCCAGTAGCTATGAAAAAAATTAGTAATATGTTTTATATTTAAATGAGAAATTTATTTATCAAGAGAAAATATTAAGATAACTAAGGTACAAGTCCTAACATAAAAATATTTGCATGTATGTATAAATGCAATAAAAACAAACAAAAGAACACAGTAGAGACCTGACAAATGACTGTAGCTTCACCATTATTTGTTATCAGAAAAAATACAAATGACCCAGAAATTTGAGCCTAACTTTAGAAACAATAAAAAGGTATTTCGAAGACAAATTATATAAAATTCCACATAAAAACATAGACAAGATTGTTCATGGAAGAAATCTATAAGATAGGCAAGAAGGAAACACTCACATACCAATAAAAAAACTGATTAAATTAGTTGTTATAAATTCATAAAATGAATATTATACTGCAGTTATTATCAATGCACAACTTCAACCCCCAATGAAATGAACAAACCTCAACAACAACAACAAAACATTAAGAGAAAGAATCCAAAGACATTTACATGAAATTCAAAAAGAGGTTAAGCATGTATATGTTTATAAGTCAAGATAGGGGCCATTTAGAGAGGAGGTTGTAACCTGGACAGGCAGGGGAAAAAGTGAGCTTCTGAAGTGCTAATATTCTATCTCTTTACCTGGGGAAATTTTACATGGTTGTGTTCACATTGTGAAAATCCATAAAGCAGTTCATTTCTATCTATATACTTTTTTATTTCAGTGATACTTCAAAACAACTTTATAAAAACTAGAAAAAAAACAAACAAACCAAGAAAAATTATAAAAATGATAGAACCCAAAACAGAAGCATGTACAAGGGAAGTCCTACAAAACTGGGCATAGAGACACCATAATAGAAGAAAAACCCAGGGTATAGGGGGAAAATGTCCACTCAAATTCTTATAACTTATTAACGGTATATTTCATATTTAACTCAGTTCTCTATGATAAGGCCTCTTTTCACTTTATAACATTAATTTTCTCCTACCATAAAATAAGGTCTTTTTTACTTTCGTGGGTACATAGTAGGCGTATATATTTATGGAGTACCTGAGCTATTTTGATATAGGCATATAATACGTAATAATAACACAGGGTAAATGGTGTATCTATCACCTCAAGTATTTACCCTTTCTTTGTGTTGCAAACAATCCAATTATACTCTTTTAGTTATTTTTAAATGCACAATAAATTACTGTTGACTGTGATCACTCTGTTGTACTTCAAATACTAGATCTTACTCATTCTTTCTAACTACATTTTTGTACCCATTATCCATCTCCACATCCCCACAGCCAATGCCTTTTCCAGCATCTGGTAGCCATTCTTCTACTCTGTATCAGCATGAGTTCAATCGTTTTAAAATTGTCAGCCCCACAAATAAGTGAGAACATGTGAAGTTTGTCTTTCTGTGCCTGGCTTATTTCACTTAGCATAACAACCTTCAGTTCTATCCACATTGTTTCAAATGATAGGATCTTAAGTTTTTTTTTTTTTTTTTTTTTTTTTTTTTTTTTTTTTTTTTTTTTTTTTTTTTTTTTTTTTTTTTTTTTT